TAATCACAGGCTATACAGTGATTATTAGTAACAGTAGTATCACATACAACCTCACCAGTACTAAGAGATATATCATATTGAATGATCTAGTATTTGGTACTGAGTATAACATCAGTGTAGCTGCTGTCAATTCTGTTGGAAGAGGTCCCTTCAGTGATCCTATTGTAGTAGAGATTGGAATAGGTATTTAATTATTATACTATATCAGTTCTGTGAGAATGTGTCTTTATTTAGTACCTGGTCCAGTTGGTTCAGTATCCAGTACCATGGACACTACATGGGGTGTTATCTCATGGAGTGTACCTAGTTATATTCCATCAGACTATCCCATTATCACATATGAGATAGGATATCATATTCTTTTTGACAAGTGTTGCTTTTCAATGGTAGATGATGATGACATTGATATTCAAGCATTGATTCAATATAATGTATCCAGTACCAGTACTTTTATCAACATTACTGGTCTTAATGATGACACTTGCTATATTTTTGGCATACATGCATATTCTAGTAGAGGACCAGGAAGCTGGAGGGCTATTGCTAATGAGACATTGATAAGTCAAAAAGTATGCATAGGATCAAATGATAGAGGTACATGTGCACTTGAATAAAGATTAATTTATACAGTCATCATAATCATTTTAAAGGAGCTATTAATGGTGCTAGTATTGGACTGGGTGCAGTGGTTGGACTATTATTAATATCACTAGTTGTTAGTATCATTATTAATATCTACTGCTTTATCAAGTATGAATACATTAACAACCATAAAATACAATTTCAAAGTTGTTTATGTACAGGCTGAAAGCGTATGATACAGCCACTGCTAAGCAAACAAAGTAAATAAACACTCATTAAGGACAAGTAACTGTTTGTACATTACTATTGTTTATATGCATGTAGGTTTGATGATAATATACCAATACAAACCTGTGGACCATATGGTATTCACAAAACTAAAGATGCTACAAGAGAGGCAGTATATGAGTGTCTTGATGTCAATGTTAATGATACTGCTATTTATGAAACATAACTTATGAAACAGTAAAAACTAACAGTGCAATTTAATATACGTGTACATGTACACTCTGTGATACAACAGTATAAAATGCTCGTGTAATTGCTTGTTATGCATACATACACTCCTAGATATACATTTCAGTCCTGGAGTGTCAGTGGATTTATTATCTTAGTCTATTTTAGTGTAACTTTTATGATCACAGTAGAGTGTTATTGTAACTACTTTCAATGTCCTTGTATCAATTCTAATGTTTGCCAGTGTTTTTTATAGTGTTACTATCTAATCAAGTTACAGTAAACAATTGACAATAACTAACTGAAACTGCTGTATAAAGAAAATGCCTA